TAAAAGTCTTCAGAATTGGAAACATTTTTTTAAGTGTTATAAATTTACAATGAAACACCATTTCGCATTATGATGAAGAATATCTCCAGGCGTAACATTGTATCAAATGAGACACTTTGTCCAGGCACGTCATGATTGATTTTAGACAGGGTGGACCATTGGCATAATGATTAGCGGCATTGTCTTATGAGCCCTACAAGATGAGTTAAATTTCTAGCCACGGGTTAACAACACAGATCACGAGTGACATTTGAACTGCTCTTGTATCCCCTCCTCCCCATCACCACACTTAACTGGCCAGAACGGAGAAGTATGGGGAATCAAAACCTTTATGACTGACACGGTGTGTGGAGGTCTACGTCCAGCGGTTGACTGTCAAAGGGCTAGACAATATTGTCAGCTGAGCCATTAATGCACATTGGAGAGCATGGCCTACAGAAACATTTGCAATTGTCTGTTTTTCAATGAGATGAAAACCATTGTTATGCTATTGATAACACTGTTCAAATGAACAATGATATTATAACCAATGATGCAATGCTAATGCTGAATATATAACTGTGTGAATGCTTTCCAAAGCAACATTTGTACAATTTAATTTGTGTTCATGGCTGTATACTTCTTGTATCCCTGATGTTTTCAGTTTCAGTGCTTTCAGAGAGGTGTTTTATGCAAACATTTAAGGTCTCAATGGGCCTTCACCCGCTTCTCAATTTAGAAATTAATTTGTGATTCCAAATTGGCTATGATGCCTATTATTAATGGTTTTATAACTCACGATTGTTGTGTCGGTATTAATGATGATGTTTTTCTCACGTTCAGCTTCAAAGGCACTGAACCCTGGGCATCACTCTTCTCTCCACCATTAACAACGCAGCCGTCATTCATCATTGATTATTTTATTGGAACATCCCAATTTTTGTGAATTTTAAGAATAATCTTGTACTGAACAGTTGAGTGTTAGAAACGAGTGTAAGAGCAAATATAATAACTCAAATATGTAAACAAAACATTTTTAAAACACTACCATCTATACAATGATAAAATCAGATTTTATCCAAAGATGGAATTATTTTTGTTTTGTTTTTGTAGAAAATAGCCATTGCAGCCCAGGTCGAGTTGCCATGGGGATCATCACACGATAGACCGCAACCCCAAGTGTCAAGAAGTTGCGTGGGCAGCTGTCTTCCAGATCCCCTCTGTCTCAACATCCATGGATGATGATGCCCTCCGTGCATGGGACCTTGCCACCCGACATTGTACAATACAATCAAAAGTAAAATTTAGTCATCTAGTCACTTACTTTGGAATCAATTGTGCCTTGAAAACCCGCAGCAAGATACACTCTACCTTAATTCTTAAAAGATTTTTGCTCCGCGTTATAAAGGTATATACAGTGTATTTGTAACTTCGGTTTATATCTTCATCACCTAAGGACATAAGTAAAAAGTTGCAAGAACTTGCATGCAAACATTTTTAATGGGTGAAATTCTTTAAAAAAATGAATATAAATAATCGAATATTATCGATAAAAAATACCTATTGACTACACACTCTTAGCTCTTCGTTAAAAACTCTGCGCATGAGAATTCCCAAGCCACGCAGACCTCAAGCTGTTTTTCGAAATCACTTGTTGATGACAAAGTGAGGAGACACGGCGACAAGTCACGATGCAGGATGATCTGAACCTCACGATGCTCTCAAACCCCCCTCCTGGTGCCAAAGCTGTTGTGTGCTCCGAAATTACAATTTTTTGGGACAATGTTTGCACGCAAAAAAACCTGTCCCTCTTTGAACACTCGCACGAAAATTTGCTTCGGAAAACTGGGCCACAGCGACCAGTGCGGTCTTACCGAGTGGTTACCAAGTGAATAGGCAAGACCAACCAGACATTGCACCATTGATGAATAGTCATTATCAGGACAAGGCATTTCAATGTTGTATTCTACAACTAAATATTGCAGACTTGAAGACAAAAATCGTCTACGGTTGGGCAAAATACCGGAAGGTGGGCTCCACTGTAATTGTGACAGATTGTGATGGCTTTCGGAGGCCTTCATCCAGCAGTGGATTGTCCATGCTTGATGATGATGTTGACGACAACTCGCTCACATTTATCTATGGAACTTTACTTGTGATGATGACGATAGGTAAGGGAAATTGAGAACTCGTTGACATACGATATCCAGTTTACACAGCAGACCTTGCGTGCAAGTAATGCAACGTTTAATGTGCATACAAGACAATTAATATGTTCACCATGACAGCATGGGCAGACTGGTGCACTGATATAAATGGAGTAGCGATATAATTTCTAAAAAATCATAGAAACATATTTACTCTTCATAGCCATGCAAGGAAAGTAACCGGGCAGTGTAGTGATACGACCTTTAGATGAATACGTGAAAGAATCAAGTACTCGGAGAATGTCAAGCAACCGTTGTATTCTACAGCTGGAGAGAGCATCATGCGTTGCTCAGATGAATTGTCTATGGTTGACTAATACCCTAGAAGGTGGACTATTGGACATTGTGTCATATTAAGTAACTTTGAGTTTGTTGGCACTGCAGGAGAAAATAAAACTCCCGTGGGGCTGGCACCGCTGTGCTACTGGTTTATGCTGCATTGCCATGGAGTGGGGCTTAACTGCCCCACTCCATGGCAATGAAGTGGAAGACATGCTGTGCATCTGCTCTCAATGCAACTCATGCAAACGACGAAATGTGGAAACGGCACAAAGAATGCAATTCCACTCGTGGCATGTTCACTTTATGTTACATTTGCGTGTCTTGCAACACAGCAATTGTGTTCGCGGGGCACACCAAAGGACACTCTTGCAAGGGCGATGTTATAGAGACAACGTTACCATATTTGAAAGGATAAGTCACGACTCAGCGTGCTGCTATAATTGTCCAAAGTTCAGTGTGTTATGAATTTCAAAACTGCCAGCTGCCAATCCTGACTCTCGAATCCAAATATGATGGTCGACTCTGATTATTTTTGTTTGACTCTAAAGAACCACAAAAAACGAATTTCCATTTAATGGATTAACATTCAATTGCAGCCGGAACAAAATCAAAACTGAGCAGCAGGGCATGATGCGACATAAGTTTCCATTAGTTGGTTATGTAGGACAAGCTACCACTTTTGTAGAAACACATTTATTCATGTCAGAAGGGATGAATAATTTGTTGGATTGTATGATCCTGAGGGATGAGAGATACTCTTAAACTATACAGTATATATATTTATTTTACCAGGTAAGGCCAACTGAGCGAAATAGCTCTTTTTCAGAAGCGACCTGGCCACAAATGATAGCTCAACGAAATGTCTTATCATGCGGAAATTTATAGCAGCCAAAAACTCTTAGTGCATGATTTTAAATGTGGAGGGGAAAATCGGAGGACCCGGACAAAAATTGACGTGACCACGGGGAGCGAGAAAGACACCCACACTCCAAATATACAGCAGGCGTCAGGGTCGGGATCGAATCCACGACCTCCTGCATACCACGCGAGGTAGTTAACATCTCGCCACCATAGCACCCGTGTGGCCTCGCTATTGCTCGTCCCAAAGGAGGTGGCATTTTCAATGAGGAAGTCCACTGTGATCACAAATTGGGAAATACCTCCGTATCGTCACCATCTCCCCAGCAGTCGATGTTCAAGTGCTGTTTTCAATGGAGGCTTTATGCCAGAGACAAAGGTAAAGGGTTCATAACGTGGAAAATAATGTTCTTTGATATTGCATTGAGTTATAGCGCAGCAACCTGTATTTATATTCTTTGGGTCTTTCGGTAAAGTCACGTAGATAGGTTCAAAGAAAATAACATAACACGGGCATCTTGTTATTTTCTAATGAACCTATCTATGTGACTTTACCGAAAGACCCAAAGAATATGAATTCCTGCAGTCACGAAAGCTTCAAATCAAGATTTAACGTTTATTCACTTTTTTTTTCAACATGACAGCCGTGCAGGACATTTTGTGATAGCTATAGAAGACACGGATAGAATGTGACTTGTGTAAAAAAAAAGTCAAGCAGCTATCGGGTTGGCTACCAACGCCATTTTGCGTGGTTGTGACAGTGTGAATCCCACTGGCAGGTAAAACTCTCGAGCATTTACCAAAGTGCACCATCTGTCCCACGGTGCACGCTGAAATACCACGGACATCATTCGCAAGAATAGACAATTTGGGTGCTCTTGCTTTTACAAAAGAAAAAAATACATAATTTTCAAAGCTGCACCGAGGTCATATCACCTAAGTGGGAAAACCACATTTTCTGCACGAGATTTGTATTCGTTGCAGTCATCGGTGACTCGACTAAGACCGTAAACTTGCTATACTTGAGTACCTGGTGTAAATCTGAAAGAGAGAGCACAGCGTTTGAACCCGTGGGTCTCAGGGCTGCTGACTCGGTTCTCTGACACGGGCCATTAGCTCCGTGAGTCACCCGGCCACCTCAGTGGCGTTTGGTTGGGCGCAGCATTCATTAAGTGGGCTCATGACTGGCCCCCAAAGCGGCACTTGTTAAAATTGTGCATAAACATCACGGTCAAGTTTTTTTTTACTGCATGCTGACCTCAGAGCTATATTACAAATGGAATTATGATGTCGGCGATGACTCATGGTTAACTTGAACATTATCACAGAAACCACTTTACATCACCGCACCTCCGATTAGCACGAGTGGCTACGTGTGGTGTGAAAGAAGTTCAACATACATACATCACAATTAAATACATTTCTGATGGCATTGGAAAGGTCTTGATTCAGCAGTGGATAGAAAAGGGCTTTGATAGTAGTAGTAGTCACTAAGCCATCAATGGGCTATTCCGAATGTTTGTCCAGGTGTCGTGGTCCATCATTCCTAGCCAGGCCTCGTGGATAGGGACGGGTCCGCGTCATCGAGCGCGACGATGATCCATGAGCAGCACCAGGCTGAGCGTGGGCATCCCCCCAGGTGATGAGCCCACGTATGGTCGGCTTTTGTTCCAGATCCGATTTCAAGGCTCGACCGCAGGGCATGGTGATCCGGAACGTCTGGTCGAAGACGAGCTACGCGCCCGAGCAGGCCCAGGCGGTGGTGTCGGATGAGGTCCCCGATGTTGGGGAGAAAAAGCATGGTACTGTATGTCACGGTGACATTTATGACACAGTCAGACCACCTGATCCCAGATGCTTGATTTCGAATGGGAGCAGTGTCCAGGTCCTTGAGCAACAGCATCGCAACTGGCAGGATGCGAGCATTGTAGACGCACGGCTTTGATTAAAGGCCCATTCTTTCCCTGTCGCCAGATGTTGTTGAGAGAGGCAAAGCAGCAGGAGGAGGCCATGGGGATCCTTCACCGGATCTCCACGTCGCATCGACTGGAGGAGCACAGGTGTACCGCCGAGGTCGATGAATGTGTCGACCTCCTCCATAGTTTGCTGTCCACTGTGCTGGAGTTTGGTGGCGGCTCCTGGACCCACCAACTGGTTCTGTACCTTTGTCTTGGCCATCACCAGATGCAGCCCCGAAGGCCTCTGCCTCCATGTGGTCGATATGAGACTGGAGGGGCGAGGGGTGAGTCACTGACGGGTAGCACGACATCGTCGATGAAGTCCCAAGTCCGTGAATCGTACGCTGCCGGCAGGGCTGTCCATATTGGACTGCAACTCTACCCATGAAACCAATCGATAGCCAGGCAAGAATAACGATGGTGTCAACACGCATCCTTGCTGGACTCCAGACCGAGTGTGAAATGGTTCAGACAGCTCTTGACTGACCCTCACCCTGGTGGATGTATTTCCGGGATAGGTGAGTTTGTAGCACATTAGCATTTGCTTTTCCCGGGACAGATAGAAGGGTGATCCGACGGTAGCTGCTACAGTCAGCTGGTGAACCTTTGCACCTTACAAAAATAGACAATTGCACCATCTCTCCAGTCCTCCGGGGCTCACTACAGGTTCCAGGCGAGGCTATGACGATACGTTTGAAAACATGAAATGTTTCGACCAATAACGAGTCACAATTTTAGCGTTTAAGTACCTTGTTCACATTTAGACAGCTGGCACTTCAAATAGAAGTCAACGGTCAAGACTATCCAATAATACTGTTCAGCGTCAATAAATTAAGTTACTGTACCCCTTTATTGGAAAGTCAATCGTGGGAAAGTAGAATGTCCACTGTTGGCTCAGACAGTTGCAGAAATGAGTGCTGCCCTGATGTTCATTTTAGCAAGAAGCACCATATTATTCTTTTTTTAGCAAGTCTTGGGTGACAGATTTCCTAATGTTCGTGGGAACGTCACTGTGGACTGCTCAGCAAGTGCCGACATAGGATACAAAAATATAAAAAAAACGAAGTGGGTGTAGATAACTACACCCACTTCAGAAAAAAATATGAACGTGTTTTTTTTTACTTAAATAATCCCGTTTTCCTGAGCAGGTTTTCTTCAAAAATATAAAAAAAAACTATCCCAGCCGGTAAGCGTGACCTGCTGTTGAGGCACGACTCGGGAGAGGTAGGTGGTGGTGGGTGCGGGAGGTCTGTGAATGACGCACCGGACACCTTGAGACTGCACGGCACCAACTGGCCCGTCCCAGAATAGCAACTGCACTGCAGCGCCGGTGCGGTCGCGACGCGGTGGCAAGCGGCACCGGATGACTGGACTCATGTTCCCGAAAGGAGGAGCTAGGTTCAATCGCCGGTGGGCCAATAGTTGACAAATTGTATTCCTCGACCGTTGTCTCGGGCAATCCGAGAATAAATGACGTCGTGGTGTGCGCGTTAAGGTGCGAGAACATCTGCTAACGCCAGGCATTGAAGGCGAGGGCTAAATGGTGCACAGGAGATAGCAGTAGGGCGATGGATTACTGAATCTATCTGTGAGGACTTTTGGGTGTTATCCCCTGTGTTTGCATTTTTAAGTACAGCACTCTGATTTTCTCCCACGTATTGAAAGCTCTTTAACGAAATTAGCCAAAAAATGATGTTCTCAGGCAGTTTTCCCATCCAAGTACCACAAGCAGCTCCTGAAAAACCGTGTCTTAAGTCTCAGTGAGACTGTCCTAGCTCAGGGGCATTGTTTGTTCTCGTGGGCACCCTCTCCTAATGACCCAGAGTAAAATACTTGCAATTTTATACTTGGAAAGTCTCCTGAGATGGGGCAGTGACTGCACGAAAGACAGAAATGCGAGGATCGCAAACGCAAAAAGAGTAATGGCAGGATTCAAAAACATATGAGGAAGCGAGCGAATCAGCTACAAGACCAAACTGAACATGTTAAGAACATTGGTGTTCAGTACAGCTTTGTATGCCTGCGAGACTTGGTCATTGAAAAAGACTGACAGAGATCAGATATTGCACTTGAACTGTATTACTACAGAAGGATGCTGCATCTAAGCTGGACCCAAAGAGGGAGCAACGTAGAAGTAAGAAAACAGTTGCACATCGAAGATGAGCTGATGAGAAGGAAACTGACACTATTTGGACACGTGCAGGATGGACAAAAACAGAAAAATGTAAAGCATGGTGTTCGGAAAAATGGAAGGAACCGGAAAGAGAGGAAAACCTCACAGAAAGTGGCTTGACGATGACGACATCAAGAGATTGGTGCCAGAAGGATGAGGCGCTACTTGTGCAAAGTGGCACAAGACAGAGAAAAGTGGAAAGAAATAACGAAATGTGCAGTGGACACCTACGGGCTATCTGCCCATGGATCGTGATGATGATGATGATGAAAATGCATTATTTCAAAAGTGGCAGGCCACCTGCCTGCCATGGTATTAGTGTTAAATGCATGGCTAGATATTTTTTTTAAATCTCTAATGCTCCAAAGACCTTGCAAATTAGCTGATTGTATCTCAAGTACATTAAGCTTATCTTTGTCGTAAACATTCTAAATTAATGAAATCAATCAAAGAGCATACTTAAGCTGCAAACAATATAAAAGGACCATTTATTGAACGGCAAAACGTAGTCCAAGTCATCACATTCACGATTAATACCGTATCCTTTGTATTATAATAATGTTAATTTATTGGTGTTTTGCCCCAATGCGAATCGTATAATTGAAAAACGGCACATTAGTAAGGGTCGCTAAAGGCCCTTGAATACATAAATAACGATGCAACGTCATGGCACAGCTGACAGAGGAAGCACTGATTGGTTTGAGGGAATCAGGAAGGGAAGAGAGCAGGGAAAATTGATAAGGAGGAAGGGCACGGTTACGGGCGCCATGGTGGTGAGATGGTCTACCGGAGGTCATGGGTTCGATCCCGACCCTGACGCCTGCTGTATATTTAGAGTTTGCATGTCTCTCTCTCCGTCGTCAGGTGGATTTTTCTTCGTGTCCTATGAGTTTTCCCTCCACATTTAGAATCATGCGATAAATTTCCACAAGATCAGCCACTTCGATGAGCTATCGTTTGTGGCCAGTTCGCTTCTGAAAAATGGAGCTATTGGTAAATAAACAAATCGTTTAAGGTTGGAGAGGGAGCGAGAGACAGGATTGGTGAGGAGGAAGAAAAGGGGGTGGACGTTCGAGAATCTTCGAGAAGGAACAGGAGAGGAATATACAGAATGGAACACGATGTGAGCATGGGGTAGTTGGTAGGAAGGGCTCCCTATGAGTGTAGCGTATGCGTTGTTGGAACCATGAAGCTCCCTTACCAACGACGACACGTGTGGACTCCCTTTCACATTCATGAAAGAGACGAGATATAATGCAACTTGGAAGAAGGGCCTCTAACCGATGAACGAAGCTCGCGGTGAAATGGCATTTACACGAAGGGAGCACACACGTGGGCTAACCTGACCCGCATATCTCAACTCTGCAGGAGTTCGTACTTCCATCAGCACGACATCTTCCGCATCTGCCATTTCCCTACCCCAACTGACTCTATCTTCTGTGGCTTTCCAACATCCCTCACCTTCGGATTCCAGATGTTCCCCCTGCACGTATACATAAGATGGCGTCATACCAATATTCCAACCCCTACACCTGCTCCCAATCCAATCCCAGATCAAGTTTACAATCATATTGTCTTCAACATCCTCGCTTGACTTGGCCCTGCCTCCCATCCCCTGTTCACTCTTACTCCTCTCGGTGTGCTCCTTACTCCAGCAGCCAAGGCTTCTGTCAAGGCCCCTGATCAACCTTCATTCACTGTGAGTTTGCACATTTTTTTCCATTTTTGTGTTTAGCTTGTTGTCCTTCGCCAGCACCTCCGAATATCACAGTTGGCTATGTACAGTGCGAAAGAAGTTCAACATAGGATGCCTTCTGGATTTGAACACCCGTTACCCAGCCATACATGCTGTCGACTGCCTGACCTTGCTCAAATCCAGGCTTAAGATTTTCCTTTTTCCTCTACCTATGACTGACTGCCTCTATAAAAATAGATATGTCCACTGTTTTAATATATATACGAGATATAAACACAAATAGTATTGTAATGGAGGAATGTGGGCCTTTGCAGATATATATACAGTGTGCTCCCTTTATAGATTCCCCACTGCAATGAAAGTGAATAAAACATTTTATTTCGAAGCCTCTGCAGTATTTTGCCTATATTAATATGATACATATATTCCATATTCTTGGGTCTTTCGGTAAAGTCATGTAGATAGGTTCAAAGAAAATAACAAAATTATTGCTCAGTTAGAAGGACGTTATTAACCAGTTTAAGTCATAACTGGCTGTGATGTTACCATCCTACCTTCCGATGTTAGTAGTTATTTTCGACTCTCTGGTTTTTACATTAACAGGTTAAATGTCTCACACTAACACCAGCCACCGTCGCTCGTATCCTCGATGTGGCGGTGGCTCTGCGATCTTACATTGACATGCTAATCTCTCACAATACAATGGCCACCTCCGCCCCTTCGTCGTAGTGGAGGTAGCTCTCTGATCTTACATTCACATGCAAATTTCTCACTTTAACATAACTAGCCCCGCCCACTTCGTTTATGACCCTTGGGCTACGCCCATTTCAAACTTTTAAAACAGCTTGCTTCAGCAGCTTTCCCGCTCTTTTTTCTCCTGATGATGATCGCTTGTGTTGCGATCGAAACGTCGTAGTTTTTTGTTATTTTGTTATTTTCTTTCAACCTATCTACGTGACTTTACCGAAAGACCCAATAATATGAATTCCTGCAGTCATGAAAGCTTTAAGTTAACACTTGTATCCCATGTCTTAAGTCTCCTCTGTAAGATGCGGATCCGCCATTGCTTTCACGACATTCGGTCACCTGTTCAGAAGAAAGCTCTCGGGTCTTTAGAAACCAGCGGGGTATCTGTACAGAGATCACCCGGTATTTTTCTGTTAGTATGATTTACTGGAACGAGATGAGGGTTTGTAACTTAACAGGACGGCATGCTGTTGTGTCAGTATTGGTCCTTATTCGGTAGTGTTAACGACGCTGCTGACAGTGAAGATCTAGCTGCCTCATTAATACGTAAACTAATTTATGCTCAAGCATGTTAGCGCTCCTTGCATCTCTATATATCACACCCGTCTGTTATCATTGGCGCAATCTCTCGCATGGCAAATGGTTTGTCATTAACTAGAAAAGGTGAAATTACACGAATCACATTGCATGTTGTTTGCCAAATTCTCGACAACATTGTATTAATAAACAAACAAACGAAGAAATATATAACTGGCCATACATAACTGCATTGAGTAGATGGCCCCCTTAAAAAAATAACGTTTTTTTTAAATAATGGATTCATCATTTCGTTACACATGCAATGTTTTGGTTGAGCGTGCTCTGGGGGAGGGTGGGGGCAGTTTATTTGCCACACATTTCCGCAACAAATCAAACTCTGTAAACGAACGAACGGATTGAAGGGGACTTTGAAGAGGCGAACGGAGGAGGCGCTCCATTTGCGTCTCTCGGGCAGAATGCAAATGGAGTTTCAAGAGACGTGGCCGTGGGGCACCGACGAGTTCGTCCTGACTGCGCGCTGTTCAACAGGAAACAACGAGACGCTATGTTTTAAATCGTTGCGTGTTTGTTTTGTACGCGCGCCACGAGGGAATGTCTCTGCCAAGGCCGGGGGAAGTGGGTGGGTGGGTGGGTGTGGGGCCGGGGACGCAAACACGCGCGGCGTCTGCGCCAATTAGCGCCGCGTCGCAAATTCGTACGAGGCGCGCGGAATGACACCATCACGGCAAAGCAGGCCGAGAAGAAAGTCGATTTCAGAATGTTGTTATTTCATTATTTGCATGCTTTAAAAAAAATGTATAGCATTTATATAAGGTCATTGGTGTCCCTTGGGAGAGAGTGCCTGATGGACCTTGCTCACCACTCGTCTGATGCGCTGAGACCGGCTGCATATTCCACGGGGTTGTGGCAGAGCCAGTTCATCCTTAGGAGGGGACCCAATCTCACTTGAAGCAAGAAGAAATCGGCATTGGGCCCTGTTCATCTGTAAAAATCCGCCTTGGCAAATCTGCACTATACGAAGATAATTCACTTTCCCCATGTAAAAATCCAAGAAACCCAAGGCGTCCGTCCATCTTATTGACTTTTAAATATCCCTAGAACAGGTTTTGGAATAGGTGACAAAGCCTTTCCCGTTTGTAGCACCAACGTTTTGAAACATCCTTGTTTCCTCCCTTAACATCGTAAAATCTTCCTTCAAAACATATCCTGATGCATAAAATTAATGGTGGATACAGCAGCCACATTTCCCAATGTGATGTGTAACTTTGATCCTTACCTGTGCATCGATAGTTCATTTTTTTACGTGGCATTTTACTAAAGAACCGTGTGTTGGTTTCGTGTGGTCTGGGACTGTTTTTGTTCTTTTTGCTGCCTTGCCCAAGCTTGCATTTAGTGTAAAAAAAAAAATCCGACTTGTGCAATTACATATTACATTTAGTGACTTGCTTACCGTTTTCTTTCATTTGCACTCCTATCGTTTTTTTATTGACCCTCTTCATAACTCATCGGATTCCTCCTCCAGTCTAAATAAAGATACTGAGCCTGATGTTGACACAACCATTACCGTATTATGCTTTGCCATTGGTGCCCGATGGATGAAGGGCATATAACACTGGTGAACAGGATTTGGAACTCGCAACATTTGAATTGTCAGTTGAGGACTCAGCTACAGGGCCACCTGGCTGAACAATACATGAACAAACAAAACAAATAACAGCTTCCTTCGTGTGGCTGCTGATGTCGATGCAGAGCATCAACTACAATTTCACATTCGGGTGGTCAAGCTAGACAACCGCGTCAGACTGATTCACTTTTTTGTATTTCACCCCGACAACTTCATGGAATTCTCACACCATCCGCAGTTGCTGCAAAAGTAATTCTGCCTAATTTATGCCACCGTTTTGGATGATGTTTCCCAATATTTAACGTGTGGAGCCCCATTGCTCAAAAGAAGCGTTACAACCACGGGAGATTCCGACAGGAATTGGGGATGTATGTGTACTGATGTGACCGCACTCGCCAAACCATCGGGACCGAACCGACGAACCAGACTCCATCTGTCTCTCTTTCACAAAGACAAATAACCCCCGTATAGCCTTAACAAACTGTTGGGGCAAGTGCTGTTAGCGAGCAGCACCTATGAAAGCTGGCATAGCACACGGGGGGGGGGGGTGGCTGTGGCGATGTTTACACACCGCACCAGGTACTCATTTGAGGCTGAGTCGTCCTAGGGGAAGCCCAGGACCGGTTCAAATAATCGTCACTGGGTTTTGGCCATGAGTGGGAATCGAACTCGGGTCGCCGGGTTCGTATCGCAGCGCGCTAACCGCTACACTATCGATGTGGTGACACAGAGACACACACACATGTTTGATGTACGTGTGAGAGTTGCTCCACTCTTCTTTTGAAGGTTGTTACATGTTTCCAATTTCTGTAAGAAATTAGACACTTGTCCTGCAAAAGGTGGCACGTTGATGGCTAAAAATGGCGACGTGAATTCAGGCCAAACTGTCTTCCTGCTCAAACGACTATTTCAAACATCTGACCCACAGCCAGCTGTGGAAATTCTACATTCCTATGACAGGGGCTAACGAAGGTCGTCTATTGTTGATGTTCCACATAGTGGTACTTATTTTTATCGACTCCAGGGGGATGATGGAACGAGTGGATTCCAGACGAGGACACCCTGGTCACTCATAAATAAAACTATCCTGGCCTCTTGAGTTCTTACCTGGTTACACGAATAAACTTGAGTTGAACTTGCAACCTTACGATTGTAATTTGGTCCTTCTAAGCGAAATTATTTGTATACAATGGACATTCAAAACATATCCTGGCCTAAATATATAAAGCGCACAAACACTCACA